GTGTGTGTGTGTGTGTGTGTGTGTGTGTGTGTGTGTGTGTGTGTGTGTGTGTGTGTGTGTGTGTGTGTGTGTGTGTGTGTGTGTGTGTGTGTGTGTGTGTGTGTGTGTGTGTGTGTGTGTGTGTGTGTGTGTGTGTGTGTGTGGTGTGTGTGTGTGTGTGTGTGTGTGTGTGTGTGTGTGTGTGTGTGTGTGTGTGTGTGTGTGTGTGTGTGTGTGTGTGTGTGTGTGTGTGTGTGTGTGTGTGTGTGTGTGTGTGTGTGTGTGTGTGTGTGTGTGTGTGTGTGTGTGTGTGTGTGTGTGTTTGGTTGTACACCACAGCAAATTCAGCGTTCGTGACTTTCTTGGTCGACTGTTTCGGTAAGGTGCTCGACCGGCTGCGTCATCTGCTCATCATTCACGGAAACACGAATACATTGACAATGTCACGAAGTCCTTACTAGTAACTACCTAAAAAAGCAAGCCAAATAGGTCTCTTGGAAACGTCATGAGACATGACAGTTTTTAGACAAATTATGTGAATTCCTGAAAAGCCGACGGCAGCATTGCGCAACATTGTCCTCAAATATAGCGCCTTTAATAAAAAACTTAAGTTTGCAATTTCGCAAAAGTCTAAAGCAATTTTGGTGGTCATGAAAAGTATTTTACCAGACATGAGCTGAAGCAGCCAATGTAGTTTACTATTTCGAATGTGCTGCCGGGGGCTGTGAAACTTGCAAAGCAAATTACATTGGCCTGATCACAAGCTCCCCCACGTTTAACCATGCACTTGCGGGAGGGGGCACAGAACACATATGCGCGTACGCACAATACCGCAGTCAACAGAAACACGTTCGTCACGAATACCGGTATGTTAGCGCATACCGCAGACCATAAATGGCCCACCACACTTGAATCATTGTGCATCAGAGACGTGACACCTATCAGCAACATGCAAAACAAGTTACGCGCTCAACTTCTGCTGTACGGCAAGCGACTGGTAAGACAGACCCTCCCCACTTACGCCGACACCAACACCAGCGCTAACACCAAATCCTTCTGCCACCCAGCCGCGACACTTGATATGGCTAACTTTTAACTTGATAAGGAGAAAATGTAAAAACTTCCGACGGCAGAGAAGTGTGCCGCTGCGTTCTACAGAAGTGGGACTTGAATTACATCATGCAGCATACAAATGCTATTGGTTTAAGTGAATCAAGCGTGTGTTTTGTACAAATGCGATACAAACTGAAGTTTTGTATATGTCAACTGTGTATTAACAGATATAACCATTGGAAAACAGGCGAAACTCGGCAAAATATCATCGACACACAAGACAACAACAAACGCAGCACACAAAGTTCGAACAAAGGACCAAAATGGTCATAAGCGCTAATCTTTCTGTAGTGAGCGGCCAGCAAGGCATACAAGACAACCTGGTCGTTAAAATACTCCGACGTATACATATCATAATACTTCTATCTGCATTATGTTATAGTCATGTGTCTGCTTATAGTATGCTGTATACGTTATATATATATATATATATATATATATATATATATATATATATATATATATATATTTGTAGTTCAGGACGGCCCGAACATAAAAGGACGAAGTCCGCAAAGTATCAAATCTACCCCTCTTGGTGACGACCACAACTTTAACCCCGCTATCGTTTAAAAGGGTGACATCCGTGGCAGAACTGTAAAACAATATAGCGTTTCCGTAGCAACCGACACGACAGCTTTTCTTTCAGTAACCTGCATTTGCTTCGCGGTTATTTCATGCACATTTCCGGAGTGCAGGATCAGTAACCAGCTGACCCGACATTGTTTTATCGCTCCCCTATCTGTTATGAATGCTTTGAAAATACCTCGATTTTGCAGGGACCATGTAATATCCACCTTTTGATGAATGCTGCGGATTTTTTCATAAGCTGGGAAATATATTGCGTATCTGTGTCATACATCGCGAACACAGACGTGCTGGACTATGATAAAAGTTATTTGGTTTTTCTGGGCACTGCAACTGCTTATTGAACGCCCAGCAGGCAAACCAGAAACGCACACTACGTGAAATAAAAGCATCATTGGTATTATACCCTATATTGCGATGTTTTTAGAGCAAGTACCAATGCGCCAAACAAGGGAGTAAAATAGCCTATAGCCACACACAACTTTGAGCCGAAGTTTAGCCAAAGTGAACCGCTACGGGAATTTTAACAAAAATGTACATTTTGAAATACTGGAGAGAAAAACATAAAAGCTCTTTATCCATCTCAAAGCGCCAGCCAAAATCGCGTCAATACGAGGACAGCTCTATATAAAAAACACTGTTCTTCATCCTCTGCCCAGCCTGTTTCCGCTGTCGTCACTCGTCGGTCGGCCTGTGCTCGGCGGTCCTGGGCGGATGTTGCGGGCGGACAGACGACCACCCACATACGGTGATCGATGGACGCTGCAGAGCCAGTGGAGGCGCTGCGGCGAAGAAATGACCGCGGAGATCTGTTGAGATGCGTGCGAAACTTCCGGTGCACTGCAGTGATGTGCGCATCGCGCTCAAGGATAGGCCAAGTTCCTTGCTTCTGTGAAAAGGCTGACTGGGTCGAAGTGACGGTGTCGTTTACCGGCATGTCAACTCTCTCGCTTACGAGTGGAATGAGTGTCCACATGCACTAAATTTCAGCGGCATTCATTTGAAGTAGGTGGCAAACATATTCTAAATAACTTACATTGGTACTGACGTCACAGATAAGTGACAAACTGTCAACACCATCAGCCGCAATATCAGCATCCTGACAGGCTGTAAAGTTGGTTCTTACCAAAAGGTAGCAGAATCGCTCTTCACCAAAGATAATCCCCTGCGCTAAATATCCAAAACACTTCCACGAATATCATGTAAAGAGGGGCGGAAGCAAAAGTGGCTCTCCAACCCCCGAGCCCTCACCTTATCGTGTCGACGCACCCCTGGCTGGGAAGAGTCGGCAAATATCTGTGCGGAGATGTGAAAGCAGAAATCCAGCAAGTTATAAAGATACAGCAAGATGTATTTTCAAATTATCCTCGATATAGGCAGTTCTTCCCGCAGTTTGTCAAGACCCCCAAAAAAGATCAGAAGCTGTTGGAGACACATGGCTTAAGATAACCACCATGAATAGAACAAAAATATCGAGCCTGTGGCCCATGTCACATACTTTGGATTCCCAAGTGATCTGGACCCCTTGTTCCGTGACATTTCGAACCCTAGTTGTGGGCGCACACGGTTAGCCCCATGTTTTGGATTTAACAAGACACCCATGTGCTTGTATGCGTTTTCATACCACGCTGCAAACGCCTGGTGTAAGGGACTGAGGAAGCTTGATGCGACTTTGGTCGCGTTTTCTCACAACGTTTAAGATTATTGCGCGGTCCAAGAAAGGCCTCCTATCCGCAACAAGGCACATTGAGGTACCTTAGTTCATCGTAACTGTTGAGGGACATGTCAAGGCTATGAATGACTGAACTGGACACCAAGGTCAAGGCTATGAATGACTGAACTGGACATCAGGGTCAAGGGTATGAATGACTGAACTGGGGACAATAACCAGCGAAGACGGTGCCACGATGGCAAAAGCTGAACAGATGGAAAAGAAGAGATCAATAACTTTTCAGCCCTAGGCCATAATCAGGTATGGGGTAGGATTAAGGTTGAGGAAAATAAGGACGGACTACCTCATAGTGTCGAAGCGGACATGAGACTGGGGGGTCTCGGCGGTCAGCAACATGTTGGGCATTAGTTGGCGGCGCCTATCACGATAAACCACCTTTGAGCCTTGCAAATCGCTGTCCTGATTTCTGCAAACAAATTTCCGCGTCCATATTCCCGCACAGCTATTTGACAGCTCTCGCCAATCAGAGGCACCCAGCTCGTTTAGGTACAGGCTCGGAAGATGCGAAGCCACGTTCGCTGTCATGCCCTTTTAGAAACAATGCGCGGAGGTGGAGCAAGCCAGCTAGTATGCTTTGTGGCTTGGTGAAAGCTGTAGTACTGTACTGTACACTGTAACACTGTACACTGTAAGAACACTGTAAGTACCAAGCTTCGTTGTTGTGATATTCAGCTTGGTGGTTTTTATTCTTTTGATGAGCGCTCTGCTCCGTTGGGCCGGAAACACATCCGCAGGTCCTCAGGGCACCGATATTGAAACTGTTGGTGGCGTCAGGTTATCTATTCAGGCGATAGGTCAATATGAGGTGACCGGGTCACGTCTTCTAAGCTTTGTGGCGCGGCACGCAAGTGCACGTAAATCGCTGTCTCGTGCTTCGTTTGGTTTTGCGGAATACAGCACAGTTTTGCGGGGTTTCGGTTATATTTTTTCTTCCTGCTAACAAAGCAGACAGATGACCTCCTAAATCACATTCATGGTCTAACGTTTGGTATTCAAGCCGCCGAGACAAGCCGCGCATTTGCGGTCGCCTCCTTCTCAAAGCACGTTCTCGAGTGGCAGCCTTTTAAGACTCCTCTCATTCTTCCAGGCGGCTCTAACAGGAATACTGTATGTACGTTCGTATCTGGTGTACGCGCGATATACGTACATATTGTGCGTACACGTGATTTTATATTCTTAAAATTGCACGCTGAGCTTGTCAAATGTAAGGTGGTGTCATAAACGTTAGGCTCTCCTCTCGTCAAGATCACCTAAACCAGTATGGGCAAACCCCTGACTGCTGCTGAGAAGTAAATAAGCCCCGCTAAACAAGCCACTGGTTTCAGTTCAATACCCAAATGCGAATCTCTTCCCGGTTAGAATAAAGACGAAGATCATTGATACCCTGATTTTGAAACAGGTTTACCTATCGTTGTTCAACAGTCGTCGACAGTCAAAGTCGACCTCTACAAATTTCGCCAAACACATTTGGGATTCCGCCGCCCTGTCTCCAGGCTGGACTTGTTTTCCGGATCTCCGACATTGGCCGGGAAGTTGTCGCTGATAAGCTAGCCCGAGACGTGCTTCCGGGCGGGGCCAGACGGCAGGCGGGCCGCACTCCAGTGAGAGCGGCTGTTGCTGCTGCTGCTGACGCAACTGGTGCTGCAACAACAGAAGTCAGCGCTGTGCCTGCCCCACTGGTAATGTTACTGGCGCCAAGCGTTAGCTCGGCAGTGGTGCAGTGCGTCTATTGGTGGGTTAACACAATATTTAAGTATAGATCTGGCCATTGACGTTAGCCCTTTTTGTGCATCAATATTAGCTAGGTGCACATATACACACAAGCCACCAAGTTTGCATATAAAGACATATATTAGTAGGCATCTAAACTTTGGCTAAGAAGTTAGACACCGATTCATGTATAATCACACCTCGCTGGTCTTCAAAATGCACCAATCACTGTAATGTCTACATGTTACGAAACTTCATTCACGTATAATTGTTAGTCATACGCAAGCTTATATAGCAATACAGAATATAACATAAACATCATTGAAAACAAGCGGAGCAGGAAGCGCAGTTCTCAGCCATCCTTTCATGCGCGCAATACAATGCTATTGTTCATTGGTCTGCGGGTTTGTGTGCGGGAGACTTCCACGCTGAAAAGCTCCGCAAGTATCCGCAAGTCACCATAAAGGTTGACTGAAACCATCTAGCAACCAAAATATGTACTGTGTTGGTATTTCAGGCACTCGAAGCGAGTGTTCAGCTGGCGCAACAATGTCGACCAACAATGCCACTAACGAAGCAATGCAGAACGAACTAAGCAGGTAGAGTATGATTAGCCCTGCCTCCATACCTTGCATTTCGTTCAAAGGGAGTGTTCCACATTTGTATGGTGTTTTGGACTGAATTAGTTATTCTAAAAAAAACATTTGGTGCACTTTACAGCCTTGCTTTTCCAAAGAGCCATGCTTCCATGCGGTGCAAAATACCATGACAATCAAATACGCATTACTGAGCAGCGCATTCGCTAAATCCAGACATTGTGTTGTCTAGGCAGTCTGCTTCACTTAAAAGCGTACTAATACGTTAACGTTAACTTATTGCATCATAACTGATGCTTGCTTCACATCTTTAAATGCTGATAATTCCTTTAACGCCTCCGCGGAGGCGAGGTAACTCAATCATCAAAATGACGCGGGTAAAGATGGACACTGCTCCACCAATCCGCTAACGAGTAATGAGGATAGCTAATACTTTTGTCATTGGATTGATGCTTTCACTAATTTTGAAATCCGTTATGTGACCAATTATCAGTCGCCAAATTTAGCTCCGCTCACTTCAATCTTGATAAAAATTATTCGACGAGGAAATGAATGAAGTTGACGTTGAAAAAATTTGTTAACACTAAATTTACATATGTTTGTTACTGTCCGTTTTGAGCGTGTTTGCAACAATCAGAGGCAACACACATGCCATTGACTAACAACACCAGCATTACACCAAGC